CGGTAGCATTGGACAGACCGTCGAAGTACAGGTCGGCCACTGCCTGTCCATCGATACTATAACTAATGTTTACGAGTCGGGGATAGAAATACATTAACTGCTCGACATAATTGTAGGCCTCCCCATAGGTTATGGGCTGGGGTTTGAACCGATTGAACTTAACAGGGTCCATATAAAACGCCATAACCATAGTACCCTCGTTGGCTACCGTTCCTATCAGTAGATCCAAGTCCTGACGATAGTCGCCCGACTTTATCATTTCGATGGGATTCCTGGGAATGAACTGTCCGTCCACCAGGAAATCCAGTTCACAAGCAGTCAGTTGGGGGCCGACCGCTTTCAGTAGTTGAGCTACCGGTGCTTTCTGTAGGCACTCAATCATATGTGGTGTGAATTCCTGTGAATTGGGATCACTATCACCACAACCGGTATTAACGGCCCGTTTATACCATTCCCTCTCAAGTGTCTGAGGAGTGCATACGTTATTAGTGGCGGCGCCGGACATCATAATAGCCCTCTGAAAGAGGTGTCGGGTTATGGGCGACAGTATGTGAACGCTGGTCGACATACTACCGGCGCTCTGACCAAACACAGTAATATTATGGGGATCGCCACCAAATGAGGATATATTGTCGACCACCCACTGGAGTGCCAGCGCCTGATCCCAAAGACCCATATTGCCGGGGGCACCGGTATGTTTGGCACCGGTATATAGCATACCAAATATGTTGAGCCGGTAGTTGATGGTGACGACTACTACGTCACCTATAGCTGCTAACGCTTGACCGGAATACCACTTTTCGACGGATGACCCAAACTGCATGGCACCTCCATGTATCCAAAACATGACTGGCATGAGAGCACCGGTAGGTTTAGGTTCCGATGGAGACCATATGTTGAGGTATAGACAGTCTTCGCTCATTTCAGGGTTTAAGTAGTTTTCGTGTAGTTTCTGATGAATGCAAGCCTTTGGCCATTGGGTGGCGTCGTAGGGGTCGGGTATGTGTTGAATGGGTTGGGGTTTTTGGAACCGGAGTTCATTAACGGGTG